CCACCATAGGGTTGCACCTCCAGTGACGATACGGAGTGCCATTCCCGTATTCTCCGCACCACCGCTGCCTCAGTCTCCAAAAGTAGTAGGGCCCGCAATGCCAGGTATGGCTCCATCTGTCTCTATAAGACATGTTGCACCCGTCAATGCTACCCCTCCCCCTGTTCGAGCAGAGGAGTTATCGAACGCGAAGGAGCTGTCATCTTCTAAAGCTCTGCCAGATAAATCCCCGGAAATTCGCGTTCATGACCAACAACCTAAACCAGCATCAGAAAGAGCAGAGGAACCTCCTGGTAACCTTGGAACAGTCTCAGAGGAAAAACAGGTTGCTGTGAAGGAGGAGAAGCAGCAGCAGGGGGAGGAGAAGCAGGAAATTGAGGAGTTGAAACAGCTAAAAATCTAATGTCAGCCAAAGAGTTTCAGGAAACATTCCAACAGCCCCATGTGCTGCTGTTGGGTGCCACAACTGTATGTGTGGCCTTGTTGTAGTTTTATTTTATTTTCAGTTTGTTTTTTTGTCTTTCAAAATATTGTTGTTCTTTTAAGTAGAGTTTAAGTAGCTATCTTAAAAAAAGTGCTTGAAACGTTTGGAATGGGTAGTAGGTGTGCTTCTGTGTTGTTGTGAGAGGTGAAATGCCTTCTGGGTGGGAGGCTAAGGCACTGGATGTTACCTCATATTGTTAATGTTATAGAAACCGATTCAACCAGAAGCTTGACCGTTTGGTTCTAGGCTTGGGAAAGAAGATTGCTATTGTTCAAAATCTACTCACTAAGCTAACGACGAAGGTGTGACCCTGGGGGGGGGGGGGGGGGGGTNCCCCCCTTTTTCCTATCTCAAATCAATCAAAATTTAACATATACTCCGTATCTATTTTAACACGACATAATAATTCATACCTTTACATCTCATCACTCTAATTCATACCTATTACACCACACATATTGTTACAACTTCATGTCATATTTCTTTACATTCTGTCTAGTTTATTACCATATATGGTCTAAACTTGTTTCCGTCCTAATTTAAATTGCTTGTTGTTGTTTACGATTTTTTTTATTGAAGTTATTTTCAATTCAACTTGTCTGAATATTGGTATTGAATTAAGAAATAAATTTATATATGCAGTATTTAAAAATTGTATTAAAGGTTTTACAAAATAAAATATGACAAGACTATTATTTCTCTTGAATGGGTAAAGAATGTTGTTGAAGTTTGACCTTATGAATTTTAAACAAATAATTTAAATTGGGATTCAGAAACTAGTTGTACAATTTATGAAAAAAGAAACATGAAGTCCTTCCTTCTCTTCAATTGAAACTTCGTGTTTTGACTTAATATTACTCCGTATTTTTTAATATTAAGTGAAAATATGGTTGATTTTCTTATTTTTTTGCCTTTCCATTTTCTTCTTCTTTCGCCTCCATCCCATTCCCTTCATCTTCTTATATGTCACTTACTCAGTTACACAGCCCCTCTCCCATTTCCCTCCTTCATCTCATTGTCGGATCCTTCCCTTATGTTTGTACCGAGCCTTTTCTTGAATCTCATAAAATTAACAAAAAATTGCTGCTGGGTATCCTCGGTTTTGTGATAAGAACTACCAGGTCTCATTATTTTTTAAAATCTACTCTAGTCTCCAGGGTACCTTAAAATATTTGAAAAGTCACTCCGGGGTGACAATCCGTCACTCCCTCCGTCAATTTTCCGTTAACTTCTTCTCCTTCTTTAACATCTTTCGGTCATCTTCTTCCTCTTCTTGTTCCTTTTCTTCTTTCTTTCTTTCTTTCTTTCTTTCTTTCTCTCTTCTTCTTCTTCTTCTTCTTCTTCTTCTTCTTCTCCTCCTCCTCCTCCTCCTCCTTTGCATTCAGATCTGATCCATAACGCCTCCCTTTTTTCTTCTTCTATTTTTTTGTTTTGAATTAATTTTTCTTCTTCTATTATAATTATTATTTTTTATTAAATATTATTATTATTATTATTATAAAAAAACTAATTACTAGTTTTACTATTCTAATCTTTCGAAAAAATAGTGGTACTATTATTATTACTTCATATTTATTACTATTTTCTTCTTATTCTATCATTATTATTATTAATTTTATTTAATACGGAGTATTATTACTATTATTATTAAAAACTAATTATTAGTTTTACTACTCTTTTTTCAAAAAAAACAATAGTTGTTATTTAGAAAAATTGCACCTCTTATAACAGTACTTTATTTTTACTTTGTATTAATTATTATCTATTTCTTATTATTTTCTCTCTTCTATCGTTTTTAATTATTATTATTATTATTAAAAATTAACTAGTAGTTTTATTACTCTATTTTTAAGAAAATAACACTAATTATTATTTAAAATAACACTTATTATTTTCATTATTAAAAAATTATTGGTAGTTTTACTACTCTAATTGTTTTGACATTTGATGTTGTCTTTCGCATTAGTCATGCAATAGCTATCGGCAACCACCATTGGTAGTAGTGAATGCCGAAAATCAGAGGACATGAAACGAGAATAAGACGTGTAAGTGCCTCTAGTTTTTTTTAAAGATAATATGAAATGATAAAAATAGTGTTAAATTTCATATTATTATTATTATTATTATGAATTACGAAGTATAATTTATAACCAAGTGAATAAATAATCTTAATTTTATAAACTATACATAAATAAATTACTAAAACTAATTTTCAATCAAAGCTTTAAATTATTTTAACTTTTTTTTACGCAAGTGAATATTGGAAAAAAGTTAATGGGGGAATGCACAAAATTTTTATGGGGCCTTAGTAAAACTACTATTTAAATAAAATAATAAATATATAAATAAATAATGATGATGATGATGATGATGATAATAATAATAATAACAAATACTTACAAATAATAAAATAATACTCCGTAGTATCCAACAAGAACCACAACAATAATAATAAAAATAATAATAATAATAATAATAAATAATAATAGAAATAATAATAGAAGAAGAAGAGAAAAAATAGAAAAAGAAAAAAGGGGAAGGGATGGGGGCCTGGATGAGATGGGAGGGCGTAGAAGAAAAGAAGGAGACGAAGAAGAAGAAGAAAGAAGGCCAAAAGAGGATGAAAAAGAATAAAAGGTTAACGGAAGAGGGAAATGACGGAGAGAATGACTGATTGTCACCCCGTAGTAACTTTTTGAAATTTTAAGGTACCTCAGAGTATATTTTGAAAAATAATGGGACATGCGAGTTGTTATCACAAAATTGAGGATACCCAGAAGCAATTTTTTGTAAAATTAATTACTCCGTATCTTTTCATACTTGTCCATCTTTCTATTTGTATAAAATTAAAAATTTAAAAAACAGTTGACCAAATATATCTCTCTACAGGGGAATATATATTATTCCACCACACTAATCAATCCCCAGCTTCTATTCTTATCTTCTTAGTCATTCTTCTCATCTGTCTTTTCACATCTTTCTTTTCCCTCCTAACTGTTGGTGTGATATATTAGAAAAAAAGAAATCATATCCCTTTGATATTCAGTTTAGTATCTTTCCTAATCTGCTTAATTCTTGTTTTAGTAGAAATAAAAATTTTCTTGCTTTACCCGAGGGTTAGATCTTTGTATTCATAATACAATTTGAATAAATTCTTGAGCTTTTATTATGCACAAGGTCAAGTTTATATACAAGTGAACATGCCTAAGCCAAACATAAACTAAGAATTTTGGAAAATAACTTCTTGAGCTCTCATTATGCAATATGCAAGGTCAAGTATATATACAAGTGAACAGGCCGTAAGCCCAAACATAAACTACAGGCCTAAATATAATTAATTTCATTAAATAACAAATACTCCAATACATAAATATTCTTCCTTTATTATTTTCTTCAACAAACTAGGAAAGATATTAAACTAAATGTCAAAGGCATCTGGGCTTCTTCTTCTAATATCTCACGCCAACACTAACACATAAGCTTATACCTGATTCGAAAAGTACTCCCCCATCCCTAGATCATTTACTTTTTACGCAAAATGAACTGAAATTCCAAGTTTTTTCATTAATTCATTTTATTTAAAGATTGGTATATATAAAAAATAAAACTTACATATTTAAAAATACATCAAAAGTTCTACAAAACAAGAGAGACAAAATATTTTCTTTCATCAAATAGTCCCTAAAAATACACAAATAAACAAAAATTTTCGCGATTTTTAAATAGTAAAGCGTGTAAATCATTTAGGGGTGGATGGGTATCTACGTGATGAATTAATCTGGAGTTGGACCAAAGGCCGACGTTGTGCAAACCAGTGTTATTAAACCTGGATTAGATCGGATGGTCCGACTGGTTGAACCGCGACCTAGATACACAATCGGTCCGATCCAACCCTCCTAAAACCCGGAAAACCCGGATCGACCCGGGACCCAGTCCTCCGATCCCCGCCGGGTCGACCTTCAATTTGGTCCGGGCTTAAAATCATTGGTGCAAACTAGCAACAATACCGAGTAGTTTTTTCTTTCCTTGGTCTGTTTTGGCGACGAGGGTGTTATGGCACCAACATCCATGCCGGAAGCACGAGACAACGAGCCAATAGACGAACAAGCTTTGGAGCCGGCAAGGCGCAGTCAATGAGCACGGAGGCCACCGGGGTGGCAACGGGACTATTCTCTTTAATTTCATTATCTCTTTTATCCTTTTAATTATGTAATTTAGATTTTCCTAGGTGAGTGCAATTATGAGCTCCTTCGAGGGTTTCTTTACGGTTCTTTACCTCGTCGCTTTTTTTTGAATCGTCAGGATAGATAACCTAGTTTCATTAGGATTAGGGTTTTACTTTCACCTATAAAAAGGGATGTACTCCTTCATAATTCATCATCAATAATACAACCCTAAAAACCCTAAACTCTCTCTCGTTACCTTAGGCACACGGCGGATTACTCCCTTGCGATTTCTCTCTCTCTCTCCCACCCAATTTCTAGAGCTTGAAGACGCTCGAAGTCTTCCGTATCCGATACACCTCATATCATTGGTGCTCTCATTATGTCAACTCCTTCCTCCGATGATCGTTTTCCCGAACTCAGTCAGTCTATGGTTCAGATGCAGCGAGACATGGAGGCACGTTTCTCCCGTCTTGATTCGGTCCTCTCCGAACTCCAGGAAGCGATGCACAACACCGCCGACACCTCCCGCGGCAAAAAACCCAGGGATGATGATGGAAACCCTAAGAGTGGGGGTTTCACGCCTCGGCCGAAACTCGAAGCACCCCGTTGTGATGGTTCCGACCCCTTACGCTGGCTCTACAAGGTCAAAGAATACTTTGAGTATTACGATACTCCCCCGGATGATTGGTTACGGTGTGTCACGATGATGTTGGACGGTCCTGCAGCAGATTGGTTCCGCTGGCGGAAGAATAATAACCTCTTGGACGGATGGGCTGATTTTGTCACGAAATTCAAGCTCCGCTTTGATCCCCTCCACTACGTCGACTATTTTGGACAATTAGCACGCACGCAACAGACGGGGAGCGTCATGGACTATTCAACGGCGTTCGAAAAAATCTTGCCTAATGTGACGGACGCAAGCAAATCTCACTTGCAATCCTTGTTCTATTAAGGTTTGAAGATCCACCTCCAGCATGAGATTAGCCTCCTCAAACCCGTGACGTTGGCCGACTCTTTTGCGTTAGCACGGGAATTAGAAGTCAAGCACATGTCATTGATCAATTCGGTGTCCCCAAGACAATCCCCATGGACAGTGTCTCCGCGGCAGCCTATTTTCAGACCACGACCATCCCCTGACGCGCCCCTTCTGCCCACCCCGAAGCCAAAAGATCCCGAGGCCACGCCGTCCCCACCGTTTCGTACTCTCACTCGTGCTGAACGCGCCACAAAGGATGGCAAAGGTTTGTGTTATAACTGCGATCAGAAGTGGTCTCGTAACCATCGCTGCGGCCGGTATCTTCTCATGGTTCTGGATGAGGATGATCCCGATGTTGCCGAGGATTCGGTTCTCCAAGATGAGGTTGCGGTTACAGGTGACATCTCCAGTTTAAATAGCATGGCCGGGGTTACTACTCCTCGGTCCTTACGGCTGTTCGGCACGGTTTCTAATCAGATATTGGTCGTCTTGATCGACGGCGGAAGCACTCATAACTTCATCCATCCTAAGCTTGTCGAACGGCTCCGGCTTCCGGTGCTTGAGATCGTTCCTTTTAAGGTTTACGTGGGCAATGGCGACTCCTTACTATGTTCCAAGCAATGTCCGAATGTTCAGTTGACCATGCAAGGTTTCACCGTTTCACTTGCCTTATTCATCTTGGATATTCACGGCCAGGATATTGTTCTAGGTGTGCAATGGTTACAACAACTGGGACGGGTTGCTCATGATTATGCGCAACTCACTATGGAATTCGTGTGGAACGAGAAGACTGTCGTCTTGCAGGGAGAAACTCAGGTGCCCACACCAATCACCATGACCTGCCTCTACTCTCTCACAGCCAAGCAAGAGCTTGTGGACTGCTTTGAGGTGTTGTTCCTCTCGGTGGAGGCTGGGCCGAACACAACACACGACGACGAGACCCCTGCCATGCCGCCAGCCATCGCTACTGTGCTACAGGACTCCTCTTTGGTTCTTACTATACCCACTGGGCTTCCCCCGAACCGGCCAGTAGATCACCGCATCTTCTTGCAAGCTAGGTCGCTGTTGGGGACTTGTTGTGCGGTCCAAAACAAATTAAAAATTTATAAATTAACCTTAACTAACCCCCGAGATATAATCAAATAAAAACTATAGCTAGGGCAAGTAAGGGTCGATCCCACGGAGAAAATTTGTACTTTTGAAATCAAAATAGCATGCAAACACATTGTCACAAAAAAACTACTACACATATAATAAGACGTATAAAACTTATAACTAAATAAATATAAAAACTTATAAATTTAACTTATAAACGAAGAAATATAATATAACTATAAACATAAAACACATACTAAAAATATAGTATAAAGAACTTATATTTATAACGTATAAACAAGTACTTATAATATACACTTATTAAATAAAACTTATACTTATATAACACAAAGGGGGGTTGAATAAAAAGTAAATTTATTTTTGGTTTTTTTTATTTTTCTTATTTTTTTGGTTTTTTTGATTAAATGGGGGAAAACAAGCTCTAAAGATATTCAACTTCTCCAACTAAAGTAAACCCAAAAAAACACCACCAAGAACCCGAAACAAAATGAAAAAGAGAACAAACACAAATCAAACATTACACGTATAATAGGCACGTAGACAATATATTACGTAACTTACGCACTTAAGAATAGAAAAAAATCAATCAAAGGCCAAGTCGACCGCGATATGGAGGATTGTCAACTCTCCACACGGCCCGGAGTCATGCAATTCAAAGGCCCGTTTTGAAATATACCTTAGAACCCCAACTCTCTATTCAAGCATGAGAACATACTTCCACTATAGAAAAAATTTATAAAAGAGAGAATCTATTATGCATTCAACTCTCATACATAATCTATTCACAAACCGCCAATACCTTATGCATTTTAACAAACTTTTTCTTCTAATGATGAGCACATTTCACATATTTCCATGAACTTCTCAAATCAATGACGTTTTTTCTATTCACATAGATGAACACAACATATTTTCAATAAATCGAGAATTTTTTTTGAGCTTAAACAACCTTAATTTTATGAAAATAACGAACAAACATACGAGAAAACACACAATCACTCAATAACGAATTCTAAGAAAAATGAATCAACTTATGGGGCTAAGAAGTCCAAAATTCTTAAAATTAACAAACACAAATCACAAAAAAGGTTCACGTATGAATTCGGAGTTCATTTAACTACCTTATGGAGCTAAAATAGCTTCAACAAAAACCGAATTCCACATACCAACCTACTTATGAAATCAAATTATACAATTCAACCAATTCAACAACAACTTGCTCAATAATTGATGAAAAACTAGTATGAATCAATTCTCATTCATAAATGATTTAATATAGACATTAAAAAAGCCATAAAAGAACACCAACCATTTTTTTAGAATTTTCAAAATTAAAACAACAAGGGAAAAGAATGTAAATTGAATCAAAAACAAACTTTTACAAAGAAATTGGAGAAGAAAAAAAAGAAATTGACAATTAAGAGTTACCAATTGTTGAAGAAGATGAACAAATTGAGTAAACTAGAGCTGTGATGGAGGCTGCCCACCGGAACTGGAGCTGATGCCGACCGCTCTCCGGAGATGATGCCGCCGCCAGTTCGCGTCTGCCAGCCGTTCGCCATAGCAGCGGCTTGGTCGCTGCTTTATTCTCGTTTGTTTCCCCCCTCTTGAATTGTTGCGATTTGCCTTCAATTTATAGCAAGGAGGAGCTGAATTCTTCCCGTTGGAGCATTTATTTTGGCGAACGTTGGAGAAGAGCCGTTGAAGCGTTTCGAAGAAGACGAAGCCGCTGCTCGCGCGAAGAAGAAGAAGTCTTCGTTCCTTTCTTTTCCTTGTGTCGTGCGTGAGATTCAAGAGGAAGGAGGGGTGCTGGGCTGATCTAATTTTGTTGATTTAATGATGGGTTTGGGCTTTGGCCGAAATTCAATATCTTCTTTTCAAACTTGATCTTCAATTTGGCCTTTTGCTACACTTTTCTCCAAAAATAAGATATCTGATAACTTGGGTTAGGAAAAATAAAATAAAAATAATAGAATGTAAAAAAGTGATTAAAAAGCTACTATTTATGAAAGAAAATAAAAAGAATGTAAAAATGAAAATTATAATAAAACTAAGCTAAACAACTAAAAATTAAACTCTAAAAATATTAAAAATGCCTAAAAAAGAATAAAAAGAACCAAACCAAACCCGACTTATCAGTTGCCCCCTGTCAATGTTCGTCCATACCGGTATCCTCACTTCCAAAAGACCGAGATTGAAAAATTAGTGAAGGAAATGTTGGAGCAAGGGTTAATCCAGCTAAGCCGCAGCCCTTTTTCGTCGCCAGTATTACTTGTGAAGAAAAAAGATGGGTCCTACCGCTTCTGTGTTGATTATCGGGCCTTAAATGTGGTCACCGTTCCCGACCACTTTCCCTTACCCACGACCGATAAATTATTTGATCAACTCAGGGGCGCTCGCATATTCTCCAAACTGGACCTCCGTTCGGGATACCATCAGATTCGCATGTGTGCTCAGGATGTCTACAAAACCGCCTTCCGTACCCATGAAGGACATTACGAATTCTTGGTAATGCCTTTCGGCCTGACCAACGCCCCGTCCACATTTCAGGCATGCATGAACCAACTCTTTGCCCCGCATCTCCGAAAATTCGTCATTGTTTTCTTTGATGATATTCTTGTCTACAGCCCGTCCCTCGACACCCATGCCACTCATTTGCGTGACGTCCTGCAACTACTCAGCGCCAATGCTTTTTTTGTCAAGATGTCCAAGTGTTCTTTCGGCCGCTCATCCATCGATTATTTGGGGCATATCATAACAGACGGCCAACTCAAGGCCGACTCGTCCAAAATCACGAAAATGAGACAGTGGCCCAGGCTGACCACCTTACGGTAGTTACGCGGATTCTTGGGGCTCACGGGTTATTAACGGTGCTTCATCAAGCATTATGCCCAGCTCGCCTCTCCCCTGACGGATTTATTGAAGAAGGACGCGTTCCTCTGGTCATCTTTGGCAGACACGGCTTTCTCCCAGCTCAAGGAGGCCATGACTACCGCCCCTATCTTACGGTTACCGGACTTCAACCTCTTCTTCGTAGTTGAAACATATGCCTCAGGATCCAGCATTGGGACGATCTTACTTCAGCAAGAAAAGCCGATTGCATTCTTCAGCAAAAAACTGGGCCCACGCCGCTTGTCCGCTTCTACGTATAATAAAGAGCTCTACGCCGTGGTGGAAGCCGTCCAAAAGTGGCGGCAATACTTGCTTGGCCAAGATTTCCTCGTCCGTCTCGATCAGAAAAGTTTATGGGAGCTATTGTCCCAAGTCATCCTAACCCCTGATCAAAGTTTTACGTTCGGAAATTGTTGGGTTTTCGATTTAAGATTGAATACAAACCCGGCGCCTCAAATCGGGTGGCCGACGCATTGTCCCGCAAAGAAGACGAGGTCGTCGAGTCTCACATGCTGCTTTCATCTTCGCAGCCGATCACCAGACCCAACCCGATTTAAGAGCAAAACATGCGGCACATGCAGAAGGCCGCCTTCCGACTCCTTATGCGGTGGCAGATGGGCTCCTCTACTACAACCACCGTCTGTGCATCGACATAGCTTCACCTTTGCGGCCCATCTTGATCAAGGAGAACCACAACACGCCGCTGGCAGGCCACCCCGGGGTTCACCGTACCTTTCAACGGGTTGCCCAGTCTTTTTTTTGCCATGGATGCGGGCAGACGTGACCAAATATGTGGTGGCTTGTCATGTGTGCCAAACCATGAAGTACTCCACTCAGCCCCTAGCAGGCTTATTGCAGCTCCTTCCCGTTCCAACTTAGGTATGGGACGACATTTCCATGGATTTCTTTGTTGGGTTACCTCCGTCACGGGGCTTCACAGTTATCTTCGTAGTGGTCGACCGTCTCACCAAGGTGGTGCATTTGGGGGCGCTGCCTACGGACTTTGACGCCCAAGGGACGGCCTTCTTATTCATCGACATTGTCATAAAGTTGCACGGTTTTCCCAAATCGATCGTCTCGGACCGTGACAGAATCTTTATGAGTAACTTCTGGTGCGAGACTCTCAAGCTTAGTGGGACGACGCTGCGCACAAGTACAGCGTGTCACACACAGACGGATGGGCAAACGGAAGTCATGAATCGCGGCATGGAGCAATATTTGCGATCCTTCACACAGGACAAACCTTCGCGGTGGTCAATATTACTTCCTTGGGCGGAGTAGTCTCAATACTAGCTACCATTCCGGGCTGCAAATGATGCCATTCCAGGACCTATACGGACATCCGCCCCCCCACTCTTTTACCATACCTTCCGGGAGACAGTAAGGTGCCAGCGGTTGATGAACTTTTGCAGGAGCGTGATGAGCTCCCTCGCACGTTATGTGCAAATCTTCACGTAGCCCAGCAGCGGATGGTTACGATGGCTAATCGCGGTTCCCGGGAGCTTCATTTCAACATCGGGGATTAAGTACTTTTAAAGCTTTAACCTTATCGCCAACATTCGGTGGCACGTCGAACATCTCAGAAGCTTTCCCGTCGTTTCTATGGTCCGTTCACTGTGTCAGAAAAACTTGGCCTAGTTGCGTACAGGCTCGCCTTACCACCTCCCTCTAGGATCCATCCGGTCTTTCACGTTTCCCTGCTTCGACCATATGTCGCTGGTTCCCACGGCTGCACGCCATTGCCCCTGCCAGAGGAGTTTGTTGGTGGGCTGCCACTGTCTCGGCCCGTGCGTATCCATGCCACTCGCACCATCCTTCGTGACGGCAAACAGGTACAGCAAGGTTTGGTTGAATGGTCCGACGGCACGCTTGACGACGCCACGTGGGAACCCTTGGACCATTTACGCAGCAAGTTTCCCCAGTTACACCTTGAGGACAAGGTGGTGCTTGATGACGTGGGAAATGTTATGGTACCAACATCCACGCCAGAGGCACGAGACAACGAGCCAATAGATGAACAAGCTTTGGAGCCGGCAAGGTGCAGTCAACGAGCACGGAGGCCACCAGGGTGGCAACGGGACTATTCTCTTTAATATCATTATCTCTTTTATCCTTTTAATTATGTAATTTAGATTTTCCTAGGTGAGCGCAATTATGAGCTCCTTCGAGAGTTTCTTTACGGTTCTTTACCTCGTCGCTTTTTTTGAATCGTCACGATAGATAACCTAGTTTCATTAGGATTAGGGTTTTACTTTCACCTATAAAAAGGGATGTACTCCTCCATAATTGATCATCAATAATACAACCCTAAAACCCTAAACTCTCTTTCGTTACCTTAGGCGCATGGCGGATTACTCCCCTACGATTTCTCTCTCTCTCCCACCTAATTTCTGGAGCTTGAAGACGCTCGAAGTCTTCCATATCCGATACACTCGTATCAGAGAGTTAGCTTGTACGGTATTAATTGTGGTGTGGCTTCAATTATTCTCACATGTTATGCATGCAATTAGAGATCAGATAATCGAAAAGGTTGAATTGAAGTTGAGAGACCCTTTCGGCCTTTAACCAGTGGTACTACTTTCATTTGGTTATCTTTTAAATTACATCTATACTTTATTTAAAAAGAGGTGAATTGCAGTAATGGTTTTGCCGCCCATATTTTAGGTCATTACATATGGTAATGTTTAGTTTACGTGGTAAGTAATAAAAACTTATTAATTTCCGTTCCAATAATATTTTATTTCATTAATAAATGGTATTAATACCGTAAATATTGAAAAATATAAATAGAGTAGAAATTTGTTTGGAAAGAAAAAAATACTGTTTAAAAAAATATTAAAATTTTCTTTTAAAAATTTTAAATTTCTGTTTCAAGAGATGTTATGCCATTAAATATGGTAATTGTGATGTTTACATGGAAAGTAATAAAAGACTATTAATACACACCAATCAAGACTATTAATACCGTAAATTAGGAAAGAAAAACATTCTGTTTCAAAAAAAAATCTGTTTAAAATTTTTAAATTTCCGTTTCAAGAGATGTTATGCCATTACATATGGTAATTGTTTAGTTTACATGGTAAGTAATAAAAGGCTATTGATTTCCGTGCTAATAATATTTTATTATGTAAATGCTCAACCCAATTTTTTTCACGCCAATGAAAGGGTATTAATACCGTAAATGTTGAAAAATATAAATAAAATGGAAATTTGTTTGGAAACAAAAAAATTCTGTTTCAAAAAAAACATTAAAATCTTCGTTTAAAAATTTTCAATTTCCGTTTCAAGAGATGTTATGCCATTACATTTGGTATTTGTGGTGTTTACATGGAAAGTAATAAAAGACTATTAATACACGCCAATCAATGCTATTAATACCGTAAATTTTGAAAGAAAAAATTCTGTTTCAAAAATAAAAAAAATCCATTTAAAATTTTTAAATTTCTGTTTCAAGTGATGTTATGTCATTACATATGGTCATTGTTTAGTTTACATGGTAAATAATAAAAAGCTATTAATTTCCGTTCCAATAATATTTTATTACGTAAATGTTCAACCCAATTTTTTTCATGCCAATAAAAGGGTATTAATCCGGTAAATGTTGAAAAATAAAAATAGAATGGAAATTTGTTTAGAAAGAAAAAAATTCTGTTTCAAAAATAAAAAAAATTAAAATTTTTGTTCAAAAATTTTCAATTTTCATTTCAAGAGATGTTATGCCATTACATATGGCAATTGTGATGTTTACATGGTATTAATAAAAGCCTATTAATACACGCCAATAAAGGCTATTAATACCGTAATTGTTCAAAAATAAAAATATAGTGAAAATTCGTTTTGAAAGAAAAACAAAAATTTGTTTCAAAAATAAAGGCAAAAAGGTAAGAATTACATATTCTTACCGTTTAAATATACTTACCTTATCAAAACTTTCTTGAAAACAAAAAACTTTCCGTTTCCAAAATAAAAAAACAATTCGTTTAAAAAAATAAACCCTTACTACTATAATTAGCCTTTTATAATTACATACTATACATACGGTCCTTTCCAGACCCTTCGTAGTAAGATAATTCAACGTGTGTTTTTATTCACTGCTTCAACATCGCCTTTTCTACGAGCATGAGGATCTTAACCGCTTTAAAAAAATGTTGATGAAAAGTCAGCGCTATTGATGATGAAACTAAGAGCGATAAAAGTTCGTCACGTTCTGCCCATTCTCAGGGGGCGGAATCATTGGATGTTATTTTTCACGACTCAGAGGTTAGTAATTTATTATTTTATATTTTACATTCAAATCTTTAAAAAAACTTTGAAATTAATTATATGTAAACATTTTCCATTTTTTGTTAGGGCGATCAATTCCATGCTCAGATCAGAGATTCTAATATACGCACATTCAAAGAAAATTTGCAAGAAAATGTTGTTTATTTAGTGATGAGAGTCAAGGTATTGCGCAATTTCCAAAGCACAAAAACTGCCAATCACCATGTGCCACGCACGGGATCGAACAAATTTTTTGTTGATTTTGTGAATTATCTTCAATGTAATATTTTTAAATGAGTTTATAAAAATATATGTAATACGTTCTTTAACACTATATACAATATAATCAAAGTAAGACAAATAATTTAGCATTTATTACTTGGTAATGAAAATGGCTATATATAAATTTAAAAGTAAAATCCGTATTTTTTTGAAAGTCTTCAAGGGATACAATATTTTTAGTGTGCTTACAAGACTATCATTAACATCATGCGATACGAGAATTTCATTCAAGTTTTAGAGAAGACAATTCCATGTGGTTATTTCGTACGCAATGACGATTAACAAGAGTCAGGGACAATCTCTAAAACATGTTGGATTATTATTACGAAAACCGATGTTTAGTCATGGACAACTGTATGTTATAGTTTCAAGAGTAACTAATCGTAGTGGATTGAAGATTTTGATATGGAATGAAGATAATGTTACCACAAACTGTACGAATAATGTAGTATACAAAGAAGTCTTTCGAAATTTGTAAAGCAACGATGTTTTGTATCGTAAAATAATATAATCTCTATATTCTATTACATCTCATTTTTTTAGTATTAAAAATTATCTTAATTTAATGACGTAAAAATGACCCGTGCAACGCACGGGTGTGATACTAGTTTCAAATATAATTTTATATAAATATGTTTACCTCTGATAAATATAAAAGATAACAAATTAAAAAAACTCAAATAATATACAAATTGAATCTATCCATTTTTAACTTGATAAAAATACTCATGTAGCATAAATAATATTTTCTCCGTGGTTGAAACTCTTTCTCTTTTTTTTGTCCCACAATCTCTTTATTTTTTCTATTAAAAAACTACATTTATTCAATTATCTCTACTAACTCTTACACAACCTATCTCATTATAATTATTCACTAATAATTTATTCATTACATTCTACTTTTACACATTACATCAAAAATAATTTTTAAAAGTCAACATAAAAATATATTTTCCTTTTTTATAGTAGAAAATGTATCTTTGTTAAATGTCCTAAAAATCAAAACAAGAACGACATTGCTGGACAGAGGAACTAAGAAGTATCCCCTATGTCCTAAAATTAACTTTTCATTTTGACTTTTGTAGTCAAATTTTTTGAACTTTGACCACCTATTACGAAAAAATATTTATTTTGAAACATAATTTTGGAACAAAATTTAATATCAATAGATTAATTTTGAAACATAATTTTGAAATATTTTATTTTTTTAATTGATATTTATATATAAATAGAAATATCAATGATAAACTATTGCATTGGAGACCGTGAAAAGTCAAATATAAAGTTAATTTAAGAACGAAAGGAAGTATTATAAGCAAGTATTGATATTAAAAAAGATGAAACGCCTACTTCAGACGCCTCCACACCCTGGGCCGACAGGATTGTGAGAGAAATATTAATATCAAGGAGCATGCTACCCTCACCCCACTTTGTACCCCATTTTATACCCCAAAGCTTTACCCTGACATAAAATGTAGGTGCAACACTGACATAATACTAGTTTTGCACTTACATTTAATGTCAGGACAAAACCTTAGAATACAAAATGGAGTACAAATATATATGGGGTACAAGTAGAATTTTCCTAATATCAAAGAAAGTATGGTTAGACATTAGACCTGTGCAAATAAGGATCCGGGCCGGATCTGGGCCGGGCTTGATATAAATTATTAGCCCATTTACATGGGCGGGTCTGACCCGGCCCGAATTGATGGGCTAAATTCTTTACCCATACCCGCCCATCTTTGCAGGCCGGACTGCCCACCGGGCCGCCCGGCCCGGATAAAACATTAAGAAATTTTTTTTTGTACAAAAAATTTAAAAAATAACATTGAACTCTTTTTTAATATTTAAAATAAAATAACCAGTCACCACATTTATATAGAAAGCATAATAGAAATATTGTTGCATAATTAATAAGCTCATCATACTGATTCATTAAAACTTAAAAGAGTATCAATTTTTGTTTAAAAGAGGTGAATGAATTAAACTATTATACATGAGTTATAGAAAATTTTAAAATTTATATTGGCTAGGTAGTAATAATAAAGTAAATATATTTGATGAATATGGGCGGGCATGTTGGCCCAGATAGGCTAAAAGTAACTTCCAGATCCGTCCATATGAATAATAAGGTTATCCATATCCACCTTTTTAAAGGGCGGGCTGGACGGGCCAAACAGGCCGACCCTTGTTTGCACATGTCTATTAGACATGCATTTGAACTTGCTTCTAAAGATTAAACCTGTTTTTCTTAGAGAGTAGCTTAGGTAGAATTACACTTACATAAATGTCGCCAACCACCACTATCACAATTTCGGCCTAGAATCGTCGTCGTCGTTAGTTGGACAATTTATGTCGAAAAAGACATGGCCAAATCATGAGCCAGCCTTTAATTTGCTTTTTTTTTTTTTGAATAAAAGATGAAAAGACGAGTTAAATTGAGTTATACTCCCACCCTTCTTGAGTATATCCAGATTTTTAACTTTTGTTGATCATATTTGACTTCAAATAAAATAAAAATAGTTTCAAAATTTGAAAAAAAATAGTTTTATTAGATTTATTATATGAAATATTTTCAAAATGCTATTTTATCCAATTAATATAAAATATATATTTTATTTAATTATAAATTAAAAGTTGAAAATAATTGACAGAAAAAAGTTAAAACCAAACAAATAATCAGGGACAGACATACTCATATTAATCACATAACTTGAAATCTCTCTCTTTATAATAACTTTAAAGTTTATTGAATCATAGGATCCCATCCCTCCCCCAGCCAATGATTACTCCGTTAAACTAACTATTAGAAATATAATTAAGCTATTTGTACTCTAAAAGCATGCCTATTTTGTATCTCAAAGAATGCATTAATATTTTGTGTTAATGTGATAGTTTACACTTTACAATAACACAAAATGTCTGTGCAATTATTTTATTGGACTAACATTTTGTACCATTGTGAACAGATAAAAAGCCGGTGCTTCTCTTTAGGATACAACTTAGGATATATTTCTTGGTGTACCCTTATCATGGTTGTTAGAAATAATAGATGTACTAGGAGATATGATATTATTATTTATTACCTTTCTTATTTTATTATTTCCTCATTGTATTTTTACTCCGGAGCATGATTCTTCTGATCTCATATTTAATTAGATAATTAGATTAGAATTTTCTTTTCTAATCCCTATTTATAAGGATGTATTGTTCAATAAAACTAAAATTGTGTTACTAACCTACTCCCTCTGATGGTGTAAAACTAAAATTGTGTTACTAACCTACTCCCTCTGATTCACATCCATAAGTAAGGACGAAAGGTGTCTCTCCGGTGGCCCTTCTCGAAGTGACTCGGTAAGCCCAGATGATATGTGGCAACTCCTCTAGCCAATTTGTTCCTGCCTCACCCAACCGCTTTTTGATCCCATCGACTATTGTGCAGTTCGCATTCTCCACCTGGCCATTCCCTTGCGGGTAGGCCACGGAAGCCTTGTTGTGAGTAATCCCGAAGTCCTCCAAGTATTTGGTGAACCCTGGATTCCGAAATTGAGGCCCGTTATCCGTCACAATATTTCGAGGAGACCCGAACCTGGTGATTATATTCTTCCAGACGAAGCGCTGGCACTGCTTGGTTGTGATGGTTGCATATGCCTCGGCCTCTACCCATTTTGTGAAGTAGTCGATAGCAACCATGACATACTTCTTCCTCCCTTGTGCTTGGGGAAAGGCTCCAATGATGTCCATCCCAAACCTTGCGAATGGAATAACATTGGAAACTGGGTGGTAATATGTCGCAGGCCTTCCCGGAAACTTGTAGAACACCTGGCAAGTCTTGCACCTTTGCACATACTTCTCACAATCTTGGTTCATTGTAGGCCAGAAATAACCTAGCAAGATGATCCTTTGTGCGAGTGTCTTGGACATTTGGTGGGCTGCACAGACACCCTCATGAACTTCGGCGATCACTCTTTCCGCCTCCGCCCTGGTCAAGCATCTCAGCAGCGGACCGCCAAATGCCCTTTTGTATAGCCTTCCATCAAGCATTTGGAATCTTGGAGCCCTCAACTTTACTTTTCTTATCCTATCCTCATCCTCAGGGAATTGCCCGGTCATATAGTACCTGACCAAGTCATCCATCCAAATATCATCTGGCTCCACTCGATCTGGATTGGGCTGTCCATCTTCCCCTATCATGCTAACAGAAAATCCTTCAATGCTGGCTTTCTCCAGCGTCTCAATCCTGGCCAGCTTGGACACATGCTCCGGGGCTGCTTGCGTCAATTTTGATAGCAAGTCAGCATCAGTGTTTTCCCCCCTAGGGATTTGCTCCACCACATACTCAGTCAGATCCTTCAATAATGCCCTTGCCAAGTCTCTGTACTTCTGCATCTTCTCTCCTTTGGCCTCCATGTTGCCATTGATGTGGCCTACCACCAAGCTTGAGTCGGATTTGATCCTGAGGCATGTGATTTGTAGGGTTTTGGCCAATCTCAGACCCCCTATCAATGCCTCATACTCAGCCTCGTTGTTTGTGAGCTTGAAATTGAAGATCAAGGCATGATATACCTTGAACCCTTCCGGAGTTGTGAATACTACACCTCCCCCGTA